TGCCAACTCACCGCCTGCCCCCCCTGCACCCCCCCCACCCTACTCCCACTTCAAGGAGGCGCCCAAGAGATCACGTTAAGCTTTCTGTGAGAGGGGGGGGGGGGGGGGGGGGGGGCATTCAGCACATTCTTCTTGGCAAGTTTCTTCTTTACGAGTCCAAGGTTAGATGCGTCTCGCCGCCATGATGAAAAAGTGATTTCATACCGTGTAAAAGTCATGTCATGTCGTTGATGAAGAAAGAAAAGCGTACAGTGAAAAGATGTCAGGCGCGAGTGACCTTGTTCTTCTTGCCTGTTTTGCAGCCTATCAAATGCACCTAATGAGCGGCGTCCTTGTCAAACTTAAACTTCCACTAATACTTTGCATTTACTGAGATAGAAGACTTTCCGCAAATGGGAGGGAAGTTTCAAACAGCTGAAATAAGGTAACACTTCATCATCTCATTATGCTCACGAACAAAAGTCACTGCACCTTCAATTTCGTCTTGGCGAGCGTGATGAAAAAAATGCTTCAACTAACATTTCAAATTCACCCCACAAGGCCAGCTGCAGGGACGGTTCCGGGATTTTTTTCTCTACCCAAGCTAAAGGGGGGCTTGCCTGATACAGAGATGCAGGGGGGCTGAGAAAATAGTTGATAAATATATTTCAGAATATCTGGCTGAATTTACCTGAAAAGGAAAAAGGCCGCACACCGACGACATCTCCACCACGGGTGTGAAATGTGAATGCACTGAGCCGTAACACGTCCAAATATTTACCCGCCGTGCGGCAATCGCTGGTGATTTGCATGTCATACATTTGTTTGTTGACACATTCTCAAAAGGTTTGCGCTTTGCTCATTCTATAAAACATCCTGTTTATCCACATCTCATTCTGACGAGCGCGAGGAGTAAACAGGCAAACAGCCCCGCCGCAATCCCGCGGGCTCACGTGACCTCCCTCTTTCCAAGATTGCGGTTCAACAAAAAGGCAAATGCACACGCCCGCGGCCGGGTTGGAGAGTGTCACACACGCTCACATCTACGGCGCCGTCGAATGCTTTATTTGCCCGCGAGCGATAAATGTGAATTGGTCACTTAACTTGCGGTGACCGAGACGAGCAGTCTGGTGCCCGGTTGGAGTACAAAGCCTCCTTGCTCCCCTCGAGGTCCTGCTGAGTTACTGAAATGGGGTGCGCACAGACTGTTAATTGAGCCAAATTTGAGCTTTTTCTCCCCTCTCGTGAACAAAGTCTGCCTTTTAGATGTCTCTAAAAGACCGTACTCCCTATATTTGAGCATACAGACCGCAGGGCCTCGGGAGCCCGGTGTTAACACTGGCGCATCTTCATATTCGTGCCGGGGCAAGTCTACTTGATTGTGTTTGAGAATTTGTCAAACCACACTGCCCCTCGCCGGGCAATTCTCCAAACTGAGGACATTTTCGATTACACGCCCCTGGCGGACCTGACAGTTAGGTGACAGAAAGTCGACTGGACTTTAGACTAGGTGAAACCAGGTCTAAGTTGTGGCGCAGGTGGTGTAACGTGAGCTTGGCGGATTTGATCCAAGCAGAGGCACACAGATTCTACGTGATGCTGATATGTGGGGTGGATGTTGTGATACGTATAAAGTCTTAATATAATCAGGAAAAAGTAATATCTAATTTTTTGTCAGTGTTGTTATGATGGGACAATTGAGTCATTTTTTTTCCTCTTCAAATATGAGGAAAAGATAATTCTGCGGTGGATGAATTGCTCAACTTTCATCATAACACATTGAGGGGCACTGACATTTACAGAGTTTAGAATGTGAAATGAACCTTTATCACAAAAAAAAAAAAAATTGAATTGGGTCGTACAAATCTAACCCGAATGTCCAACCGCGTCCATGAGAATTTCAAGTTGACCGCCGAGTAACACCAAGACCTGAGAGCGGTGAGTGACGTGCCAAAAAGTAGCAGCGCGCGGACCGCTTTTGCCAGCTCCTCCTCACACCCCCCACAAAATCAGTTCCACCGCATTCCCGCAAAACAATCCCCCGCGACCCGAGCCGAGCCATTTCAATAAACCATTTCTGCGAGTGTGCCACTGAGCACAGAGGACCGTCGCCAACGAAAGCACCTCGGATCCAATCATAGGTTGCGCGTTTACGAGAGGGAAGTGGAATGAGCTCTCGCTTTCACTCTCTTTCCCCTCAGCCGAAATCTATATTGTGCTGCTTGTTCACGCTAAAGGAGTAATCTACTTGACAACCCGCTCATTCTGTTCAACAGGTTCGGCGCTCTGAATCAATCACTTGCGTTTAAGTTCCAATGGGTGACCTGTCAGATAAATGCCCCCCCGCCTCCCTTCCCCCCTGACCCGCTTTTTATTCCTAGCAGCCCTTATGAGGGAAAAAATGCTGCCGTTCCAGTTGTGCGCCTTTTGCCTTAGCGTCACTTCCTGGAACATTTTGTACAACGTCAAAGAGAAACCATAGTGAGTAGACGGCATGATAACTGACATATGAGAGCTCTATAATGACTTCAGCGTAGATGGTGGCTACTTATTCTGGCGAGATGGGGGCGTCCATTAGTCAGGATGCGCTCGTTGTGTACAATATTCCTCGCACGGTACATCACGATGCGTATCTCTTCAAAGTGGAGTTAGAAACAAATGGGTATGATGGAAAATGCAGAGGAGCATCAAGGCAACGACATTGTGCAGCAACCACACATCAGAACACATCAGGGACTGTTTACGTGCTCGGGTGGGTACTGCTGTTTCAGTTAGCAACCGAATTTTAAGTGGCCTCAGCTCTTACTGTCCACGTGAGAACCGTTTTATTGCTGAGAGGAAAACGGGAGGAGTCAAAACTACACAAATAGCGATCTTAGGTAAAAGTGAAATCAAATGGACTGGCGCTGCTGTTTTGGCGAGCCATGAAGTTCAAATGGACTAAGCTCTAAAACGGACAAACGGCACTGCCCCTCGCCCATTGGATGGGAAGTATCTAGAAATGACAACAGCAAAAACGGGCAGACAAAACGAAACGATGAACGAGTAGCTGCGGGAATATGACATGATGCACAGCACATTGTGGAGCGAGCACATTTCAGCATCTCTTTGAAGGTTTATCGACGCTAAAGGCGCGGTCTCCACAAATCGCAAAACATCATCTTGAAACTGACAGCATGACGCTACGCTTCAATTCATCTGCAAGAATGTTGATGTGATTCAGCGCTACTGTTTTTTTTTTTTCTAGCAATGGCGGTTGCAATCTGCCCCTCGCCCATTGGATGGGAAGTATCTAGAAATGACAACAGCAAAAACGGGCAGACAAAACGAAACGATGAACGAGTAGCTGCGGGAATATGACATGGATGCACAGCACATTGTGGAGCGAGCACATTTCAGCATCTCTTTGAAGGTTTATCGACGCTAAAGGCGCGGTCTCCACAAATGGCAAAACATCATCTTGATAACTGACAGCATGACGCCACGCTTCAATTCATCTGCAAGAATATTGATGTGATTCGGCGCTACTGTTTTTTTTTTTTTTTTTTTTTCTAGCAATGGCGGTAGCAATGAGCTATTTAGATCGATGAGTAGGTGGATGGCAGACCCGGCGACTAATTGGGTCATCGCGTCTATGAAACTATGGAAACGATTTGATGAAATATAGTGCATCTGAAACAGCTTTAGCACAATAGCCGACCCGCCCTCCACAGTAAATTTGATAGCGCTAGCAGACCCTCGCATTTATATACCGGCCCAGTTGTGCAGTAAATCCCTCGCCGTCCAAAAAGCTCTGTGTGGTGGGGAGCACAGGAAAAGAGCGCCGTAAAATACACTGCGAGCTTCTGTTCTCCGCCGCTGAGGGTGTACAACCAGAGTGAAGTGTGGAACATTTACGTAGCGCCGCTTTCATAGTTTGAAAGTGCTGAAATTCTTTCCGGTTTCACCCCTCTAAGGAGCGGCCGTCAAAGGCCACCATTGTCTCTCTTTCAGTGGCAACGGTAAAGCATTCGCACCCGATTGAACCTTCGCTTCGGGTCAGATCAAGTCCAAACGTACCAATAAAGTAGAAACACTCAGTAATTCATGAGTTTTTGACCAACTGTCATTCATCCGATATAGTGAGGGCTGACTTTCAAATTTAATTTGTTCCCTGACCAAACTGGTGAATTAATTCTCCCTACTGAATTCATGAATTCATCTGTTGCAGCCCTTTGTGACCTGATTTTAATAAAGAAAGGCACAGCGTGAAAAGAAAACAAAACCTAATGTAGCTTTTTGCGAGTGTACTCATTTTGTATTTGTGTGTCGGATTGATTTATTGACAGCTCAAAGTGCATCTGCCGCTATGGTTCTTTTTTTTTTTTTTTTTAATTTCACCCGAGTTTCACCATTTTGGTTCAAAACAAAAGGAAAAAAATAAAAAAAATTGTCACTCGAAGAAGTTGGAGTAGTCATTTTAGAACTTTGTATTCATCGTTTGCTATGGTGTAATCGGGTAACTACATCACACAATAGTTGGTCGTCGAACGATTTCTATTTGCTTAGATTGATCTTTATTTCATTGCCAATTCATGCTAATGAGATTCTGTTCCCAATGGCCTTACCTTGAGAAAAGTTCAATTAAAAAAATGAAAAGGAGCCACCTCACTGTGAGAAAACAACCCGGTTTGTGCACTTCAGACTCCTATTTTTTTCAGACTTGCAGCTCGAGCACAATAATCATAAAAAAAAAAAAATAAATAAACGAAATAGTTCGAGGTCAAAATTCAGCAGGTAAAATAGACTTGCAGCTCGAGCACAATAATCATAAAAAAAATAAACGAAATAGTTCGAGTTCAAAATTCAGCAGGTAAAAGGTAAAGTGTGATGGCAAATATATCTTACGTAGCAATGGAACAAAATGCAAATGTCACATTTTGTACAGAAAAGGGATAATGGCCATCTCTGTAGGGGGGTGGTGAGAAAAAGACAGCAAAGTGCCATTTGACGGATAGAAACGATCATTAAGTAAATATGCCGCATATGCGCCCAAGAATGTCAGTCGATACAAGCGTTCTCCTCTTTCCATTTGGTTCGACTCAAATGGGCCGACCACTAATGGCACTCTTTACACTTGACCAGTGAAATTTAAGTTGCCTGTGAAAATTCACTTCTTCCCTACCCCGGTGTATAATAATGACTCTTGAGAGCATAAAAGTGTAGGTGGCCGCGCGGAGAATTAGCCTCTTCTTCTTGATTACTAGCCTGCTGAGCACCTTTATTGTCCTCTCTAACGTTGTTCTTTAATGGCCAATCCCAAGAGTGAGATTGTAACAAGTGTATCGACCTGCGACTTGGGACAAAATGGCCGCAAGGTTAAAAGACAATGGACGGAAATGGACGGAAAAAGAAAGCAAATGTAGGACTGAATCGGAATGTTGGGATTTTTTTTCCAAGCCTGATATTTTATGGCCAAAATGTAGCGTCGCTTAGCTCGCAAGATTGCATTTCCTCAAATGATGAATAACATGAAATATGCGCGACGCCGTCTTACCTCCCAGCGTGGCCGAGATGAGAATGTGGGTGCCATATTTTTTGATGATGGTGTGGATGAACTGCTGCGTGGTCGGTCTGCGGCCCAGCAGGCGGACGCTGCGCTGGAACTCGGGCATGAGCGGCACGGGGTTCCGGATCAGGTCCCGCCTCTCGATCGCTGTATTCCTCACCTTCCAACGTGCAAATTCCCTGCGACACAACAAAAACCGACGGCATCAGCAAATAACACCAGACGTGACTTCCAATGGTTTTGGCCTTGGTCCATAGACGTTGACTTGTTAGTCAACTTGAGTAGAGTAGTGCTAAAACAAAGTTGAGTTGAGTTGAGAAAGTCAGACTGACGGCGGCCTGAAGCAAATCGGAATGATTTTTTTGTCAGCAAATAGAAGATGATGGTTCCCCATTAAAAAAAAAAGAAGACAAAAAAAATCCACAAGTAGACGATTCTGCAAACGGTGAACAGCGACGATACAGACTTTCACCGAATGAATTCCAAACAACAAGCTTTGAAAACCTTGCACCCTTAGCGCTCACGTAGTTCAAATAGTCAAAGAATTCCAAACATTTGAGGTTCAGAATCTGTTCACAAAAGGTCAAAGCAGTGCATCAGCCATTTTCATTTCTTCTCGGCTAAGTTTAAAATGTTCCACTTTTGCCATCACTCTTTGCTGAACTTTCCCTTAAGCTGACAACAATCATATTTGACAGCAGCGAAAAACATACAAATGTATCTGGCATATTGAGCTTACAAAATATTTGCGTGGGAGCTTTGGCGGCGTTTACTCATGAGAGCGCCGAGACGCGCGTCAAAGAAACAAGAGATAGAGAAATCTCCGTTACGCCGTGGCAGAGCACCTATAAGCCCGAGGATAAAAGTGCCAGGTTTTCTACAGCTGTCTGCCATGTTGAAGCGCTAAAGCAGACGCACTGTCATTGAGTCAATAGCTCGCGTCTGCCATATTCGGGAACTAAAACGTCTCAGCATGATTAGGCATTCAGGTAAGAAGCCGCCATTGGATGGAGCATTATCTGGCTGCAGAATGTGCAAAATGACACACACCGCCGGCATTTCTCATTCCCGCAGGAGGACACAAAAGTGAGCGGTGCTCGAATTTTTAGTATTGTGTATTTTGTGTCACCCCCCCCCCCTCCAAATTGGACAGCGTTCTTAATCACCAATGAATCGATTACAATGCCCAATTCCGACTACAAATTTGAACTTGTTCTTGAAATGAATGACAACCCAACACTACTTATTGCCTTTTGAAATATATAAAACTCAAACATCACATGCAACTCATTATTTCCTTCTACTTACATATGCCGCTCAGTGTGTGTGCTTTTTGTGCGGGAACAAGACGTGACTAATTAAATACACGGCAGCGCTCGCCATTAGCATACCGAAAAAGGACCGGAGAGATTCAAAGAAAAAAAAAAGGGCCTGCTGTGACCAGCATAATGTGAAAAGACGTACGGGAATACATGAAACAAAAGGCAAAAGGAAACAAGAATAATTAAAAAAAAAAAAAAAAAAGGGGCCAAATTCACAAAGCATGAACCGCTGCTGCTGATCACGCCTTCAATTGCGTTTCATTTACAGCCGCGCTTTTCTCCGTTCTTAACGTCCTACTCACAAAGGAGATTGCCCTCATGACAGAGTGCAAACACGCCCACAAAAGCTTGGCAGCAGATTGCAAATTTGCCCTGATTTGCCCAGCTTGTTGCAAAGTATAAATGTTGGCTTCGCACCAAGAACACCCGTGGCAGAAGAACGACAATCAGGAAGTAAAAGTTGACATTTTCCAAACGCAAGCTAGCTTGGTTTTCCTGAATGAGGAAGAGCGAACGGGACTTTCAGGAAACTGTGATCAATCGTCACCAAAATTCACATGCACGTCTCAACTCGTGACCACACATAAATCTCGGGAAAATATCAAAACGATTGCCTCAAATTTTTTGGGGAGTGACGAAGCCTTCTCCGTGTTCCGCTCACTGCCGCCATGATCAGGCTCCCTCAGAGGTGCGCCGAGTTTACACCGGCTTTATGACGACGTTATTTGCTTCACTTAAACCGCGCGTGGCTATTAGCGCTGCTGTTAGCGAATTAGATGTTGTTTATCAACGAGGCTCATTTGCATGGAGGTGGGCAGTTTTCCACCAAATATGCATATTCATTTAAATATGCGGAAATTACACCAGCGCATTGAGACACAATCTGCTGTAAAGCACGGTTAGTGAAGTTCCCCATATGCGCGGGTTTTGCAAATTAGATGCCATCCGTGCCATGCAAAAGTCACGCAACCCTTGAGTCAATTTGGTTCTAAGTGTCTTCTACAAAAGATTTCTGACATTATCCGATCCAAAAGTCACTCTACCTTATCGTATTGTCAGAGCCAGTGCAGTTTCGGGCAGGGCCGCCACAACGTATCTCATGGTGGCCCCATGAGGCCGCTATTCCAAAAGGCTTAATGCCGGACCCTGAGGTACTCCCTCAGACTCAACCATTTGTATAGCAAAAATGGAAGAGTCCATTTTTCCAAACGATGTTAAAGTGAGATGACCATGTCCATACATCACGAACTTCACTTTACTGTTCAGGAATGGCTAACACAGTGGGTGTATAAATATACATATATAGTTTGTTTCGCCATGTCTTAGTGCATGTAGAGCTCACTGTCGTCTGATTCTTTTCCAGTGAATCCCACTGGCTGCCAGTTGTTACACAAAACCTTAAACGGCGGCCATATGCGCCGCGGCCCCTGTGCCCCAGATTAAGCATGCCAGCAGATGGAATGGGGAGACATGATTCAGTGCTTTACCTCACAGCTCCAAGACCACTTTAATGACCTATTGCCGCACGTAAAAAGGAGACGAATGGCACGGCCGGCTGCATGGGAGGGAGGAAATTGGAACATAGGTGATTATTACTTTGAGGGGTTCCTGAAACTGGCGGGGGTTTACGTTGCATCGGTGGGCGACGGAGAATTTACAGGATGACAAGGGTAAATAAATGATTGAATTCAATCGTACAATGCTCAAATCTCACTGGTAATCTTTTTGTCTGGGAATTTCATGGGAATGCCTCTTGCGCTTTGCTCTCAGGACGTCTCGCAAAAACAAGAATAAGATCAGAGACAATGTGCTTCTGTTCTGGCCTCCGAAAACAGGTGACATGCAGTATTTATGTATATCGTAGTCATGCGCAGGCGTTTACATCACTTCACTCGTTTCAAAACGTCGATGGCGTGCCAAAGAAAAGGAACGGGTGAGTCCTCGAAGTCACAAAAAAAGAGGAAACTCTGATTAGGTAGGAAGTTTTGGGCATGAAATATTAATGCGGCGTCTCGCGTCTTTGAGCTACGTCTGTGCTCATTAGTGACACGCGAGTCAAGATCTCACGAATGTGTACTTACAGTTAGCCAAATACGATCACGACTAAAAAGATTGAATGGAAAAACATACATTTGGGTCTGCATTATAAATGGGCATTTTTTTAGAGCATCTATGGGTGAAAACATTTTATCGCGGATCTCAAAATGAATTTTCTGAATCATTGTTTGAATTCCAACGTTTTTAGGCACCTTCATGCTTTCATAGCAGATGTTAGCGTGGATGTTTGTCAAGTTCTCACAGCTGAGATCATCATGTTGTTCTTGTTAAGAACGGAGCAGTAGTGCCTCTCCTTGTGGCGAGTCCTGTTAGCTTAGCCAGCGACGCTCGGATGCTTCAAATAATGTTAGCATTTTGGATCATGAGCTAACGGCAGTAAACAAGTATCGGTTCTCTCTTGCATTAGTATATTGCATTGTGTCTGTTTACTGAGGCGCTTATAATCCGTGTAGTTATGTATATACGCCCCAAAAAAATCTGAATATGTACTCTGATATCTTTACTACCGCACAATCGAAATCATTCTTTATCCTTGAATCAATGATCATGCTCGTATTCATTTTTTTCTAAACAGCTTTGTGAGCACCACCCAGATCTCGACATGTGTATTCGTACTTGCACAGCGCCAAGAATTTTATTTTGTGGGATACTTTGTTCATGCGCAGCTTCTTTTAACTCATCCTTTTTTTTTTTAAATGCAGACTGTGAAACCGTCGGCTTTTATGACGACATCTTGTCGGCTTCAAATAAAAGTCGGTAGAGTTCTGATAACCCTCACAAGGTTGATAGCGGCATGTCACATTTTTGTTTGCTTTTTTTTCGCCCCCTAATCATCGTTTGTTTTTTTCCTCGAGTGAAAACGTTGTTGATCCAGTGCTCAGTCTAATGAAGCGCAGGTTGGAACTGTCCAAAATAAGCGCTTTGATATTTGTATTATAGCGAGTAAACAGGAAGATTTTTTTTTCTTTTTTTTTTTCACCCTTCCCCTCAAAGGCTCTTGACTCTTTTTCTGATGTCTGCTTTTGGGCTTCCAGAAACATGTTGTCTTTGAGTCCTGCTGAGCCATTTTCCCTTTTTAATTGGGTGGAGATTTTCTGGCAGTGAAATTGTTCAAATGTTTGCCACACTCACGTTTGGAATTGATGTTGATGTCTTCAAGAGTGGTTTCTGCTGTTTTAGGATGAGGGACATGTTTTTGTGGTTTTCACAAATGAATCAGATGACCTGCATCGACCTGACTGCAACTGCCGACCAACTGCTGTCGCATGAAATTGTTATTTCTCATGAAAGCACAGTTGCAGTACAATGTAAATGTGATTATTTTTTATTTATTGCCGACTTTGTTAACGTTGATGGCTGTCAAGTAAAAAAAAAAAAAAAAAAAAAAAAAAAAAAAGACTTTCGACATCCTTTTGGATTGATTTTTTTTTTTTTTATTCTTAGTTTGCGCTCAACCCATACTAATATCATTTTGGTATTGTTCGTGATAGACACAAATATCTGGTCTAAGTTTTTGTTACAATTTCAACAAAAAGAATAATTGAATCTACTGCAACCCGAAAATGGCTGCCACGCCCCACAATGGAAAACAATTTGCAAAAATGACTTTCCTATATATGAAAGGGCAAATACGTTTTGCCTACAGTGATTTGCATCACGTTATTTCTGTATAATAAAGTATGCTTTCGCTTATTTCTGTATTGGACTATATTTAATTTCAACAGCACATGGCTACCAATAGAATCAAATAAGTTCCTTCTGGGGCTACAACGAATGAATTGCATTTCCCTTCACTTCAG